TCACAAGCGTCTGGTGACTATGATATAACAGTCAACCAGTTTACGTTCCCCTGCAAGGTAAAAGACAATTTTCGCAGCGGTCGAACAGTCTAAATAAATAATCGACGACACATTGTTTCCCTTATTGACACTCTGTCTCACTTACGATAAACTGTCATACAATTGGTCTCAATGTCCTAATATAACACACATATCTGCTATAGGACCAACGCATCGCTGGATTGCGTGCCTAATTAATCAACAAAGTTATTTACAATTCACCAGCGTGTCATGAAGAAAAAAGAGTGTGTCGCAATGAAAATGTATTGTTGTTCCTCATTGTTTTAAAAATCAACACTCTGAAACATAAATGGGTTATATTATCCAAATAGTGACGCAATTTCTCACCCACAACGCGAGCGATGAGCGACCTGATACGCCCTTTTGCCCGGCCACACTGGGTCAGGATGACCCATATAAGGGCAAAATATTGAATCGCTATTTGAACAGAGGTTAACTCATTTCTCTTTATGATGAGTGCCTGAGTGCATAAGGGCAAAATAATTATCGTCTTTGAACAAAGTCAAACTCATTTATCATTATAAAGAGGGTCAGAGAATATAAGAGCAAAATAATCATCACCTTTGTACAACGTCAAACTCATTTCTCTTTATAAAGAGGGCCAGAGAATAGAGGGCAAAATAATTATCGCCTTTTGAACAAAGTCAAACTCATTTATCATCATGATGAGTGCCAGAGAACAAATGGACAAAATAAATATCGCCTTTTACACAGAGTCAAACGCATTTCTCTTTATAAAGAGGGCCGGAGAACACAAGGGCAAAATAATCATCGCCTTTTGCACAAAGTCAAACTCATTTCCCTGAATGCAAAGTGTCAAAGCATTTGAATGGCTCACGGCAAGGACTGCTGCCTGGCTGATGGCAGCGTCGCGGCAGCAGCCCTCGTCATCAGTTGTTGAAGCTTCAACAGATTGCGGCGATGATGCCGCTCGTCCGGTAGATGGCGCTGCTCCAATTGCTACGTTAGCATCCACTGGACCACCTGTGAGCGCATGCCCAGCTTTTCCTTCACTTCCAAATCCTCGAAGTTTTATCATTGATGGATGAGACGCTGGAAGTTCTACTATGTTTTGCTGTGCGTGAGCGCGCTTGCTTGTGCGGATCGTTGCAAGGGGAAGGCAGAAATTGGGTCGCTTTATTAAATTTATTCTGATTTGGTACGATAAATTGCAAGAATATCATTATATATGATATAATCAATTAATATTCATAATTCATGATGCTCGGATAAAAATACGCTTGGTAATACCATTCAAATTGACTACGTTAAAGTCATTTATTGATATGCATTAAAAATTTTTATTCTGTGGAAGTTCTTCAATTCTCCGAAATAAGGTGATGTCACAAATTCGGATAGAAGAACAATTCAATCAAGGAGACTCTAGCTCGGAGTCGCGTGTCGTCTCTGACAGCTTGAGACTCACTTCCATCTATGACTCGTTTGTGTGAGTGGTGGCGTAAGCCCAAGCATTCTTTTTTTGGGCAGTAGGCCTATCCGATCTGCACGCACGTCCGCACTTTTCAGCGATTAGTAAAATACTTTTAACGTAATCTGAAGACGGAAGTAAACTTGCAAAGGACCCCGATAATCTCGGTCAGGAATTGAGGCATCAATATCGACATCGTCATGAACTCGCTCATATTATGCATGAGTATAAACTAATATAGAAACTATCGTGTAATCCCCTGCAGAATTTAAATTTCTTCGTTTTACTCACCAATATGAGAAATTTTTATCAAACTCACTCAACTAATGTATGAGAATGCAAAAAATATTTTCTTCGTAAGCAATTCTTCGTTCATCTGTACTCGTATCTCGATGGGAATGTTTGTATAGGAATAAAATAAGCCTACAAGAAGTGCCACGCCCTAGGGCTCTTCCTGACGCTATTACCACATTAAAGTCATCAATATTCAGAGTGAATTACCTCGCAATGACATGATGCACGCACCACTTGCTCATCACAGGTTTTGACGCCACATTAGCTGCCACTATTTTTTCAGTTTTCAATGCATAGAGCATCAGCGGTCATTTGCCACCTTATTCTCGTTAAAAATCAAGCGTGATTCAAACCAAATGGAATTATACCATATTTTTTATGGCCTAGAGTTATAATGCCCAATATTTGTAACCTTTTCGTGTTTATGAAAGAATTTTCGTTATATGACAATGTACTCGAGATTTTCGGTGCCTATATGCATTATTAAATTTTATGTATCTTGGTGAATATCCTCAGTATTTAATTTCATAGCAAGGGGGTATATCTACAGCAGAAGGCTGTTACATATTTCTTTCCAATAAGAGAGAAGACAGTACATATTCTTGTTGATTGTAAATTACTTGCATCGTCTTACACATTTTGCAATTTTCAACTCTCATGGTTCAGGATCAGTTTTCTGTGTTTCATGCTACTTTATGCATATATGATCCATTCGCAATGAACTGCAATCAAGGATAAAATCCATGAAATTATTTGATCTGTGACGTGTCGATATGTGAAAAATTAGACTGCTTTCAATAAATGTTTCGCTCTCTCTCTTCCTTATAGTGCACAGGGCCCAGTGAACTTTGAATTTGTTTATGAATAAAGAAAAAGTGTCACACGCAAGACCAACGATCAGATCAAATCTGCTCTCATACTGTAAACTCAATGGACCTCGATAATGTAAATTTAAATACCCAAAGCTAGTAGTTCACGTGATAACTTGTCACGTTACCTGCCTGAGAACCTAACCTCCAATTAGAAGCGGTCACGCCTGAGTCATGCTTCGGTTATCGCTCACGCTCTTATTCTGCAATCTGCTTATCCATGGTAAGTTATTCCATTGATGTATTCTCTTTTTATGCTAACTAAAAAATAAAATAGTCGGATATTTACGTCAAAATTATAAATGCTCATCTCGGCTCAATTTAATTCAATTTGGCAGGAAGATTTAATTCAAACTCGTCAATTATTTTACTGCTTTCACTGCTCTATTACTGACTCATAACCATTGCTTAAATTATCAGATGCTCATAAAAGATTGAAGATCAGAAACGATATTGATAAAAAAATACCCGGTTGCTTGTGAGTCAGGAACCGCAATTGTTTTCCAAATGTAACATGTGTGGTAAACGGATTTTTGTATAGAATTGGTCACTTTAGAACATAGACGTGCTAAATTGACTAAAATATTACGGCGTACGTGACGTGAACCTAACTTAATAGACAATTTGCAGCAGAGGGAACTTTACGGGCACGCTGAGGGCTAAGAATCTAAACAAAATCAATATTGTGATCGAAGGTTACTGTACGACAAACAACAGCGCACACTCAGTGTACGAAAAACAACAGCGCACACATACAGTACGACAAGAAGCAGTGCACACTTACCGTACGACAAACAACAGCTCACATTAACAATAATAATAAACAATAACTAAACACTGAAAAATTCGAATGAACGACTTTCCATCGTTCACATTACGGCAGAAGAAACATTTCGATCGGAATATTTATTTGCGGAATGGCTGAATGTTTGAAATACCTTGTCTTCTGATAAGCATGCGTCGTGCTACAACGTGTGCACTTCTGAATTTCCTGCTGTGCAGAGGAGACTTCCACAAAGCCAAGAATGCAACGTCAAACAAGAAACGAACAAGAGAAAGCCTAATATTACTCCCCTGCAAAAAATACTTTTTGTTTAGAGCGAATCGCTCGCTCTAACGTTTGTCCCGTCGGGCCTCTGGCTGCACTTACCTCAGCGAAATCATATCTGCACTTCCTAGCATTCAGAACTGCTTACTTTAAAAGGAAGTTTGTTTCATCTCATAAAATTTGAGTTTACTTACACATCCTGAAATAAGGCAAACTTCGCATTATTTTGATCACTGCAGTGACTTTCGATTCTTCGATAGCTCTTAGCATTTTAGTTCCCGAAGTTTCTATTTGAAATTTGCAAATGTCATTTGCAATAAGAATGAAGTTTCGAGTGACTTTCAAAAAATAAATGGACGATTTAGGTACTGTCTTTCAAAAATTTTATTCCAAATGAATATTTTAAGTATAAGAATTGGTTCTCTACTACCATTGTAATATCAAGCAAATTGTTGAGATGAAAGGGGTTTTTTAGTGTACGTAATTTTGGGAGATTCTTTTAGGTGAGTTTTTAGCGCTTACTGAAAATTTCAGAAACGGAACATATTTAACACTTCTAAATGAATTACAATTTCATGATAACTTCAACATTTTCAAGTTTGAAGCTCAGCTAATGACAAATGGAAAGTATGAATTTGCATTCATTCAATAAAAATTTCGAGCAAGCAAATAGACATTCACCCACATAGTTGTGATAGAAGTACTGTTTATGAAAGTCAATGGCAATTTACAAAGAAGCAATGGCCCAATTTCCGATTGTCAAATAATAAATTCATGCGTACTATATGTAATTACCGTTAGAAGACAATGAGTGTAGGATTGAATTAGGCGAATTAGTTTAATTTGGCTATTAAAATGGGGAAAAAATATCTATATGGTTAGAAGAAAAAGTAATTAATTGTCATCAAAAATCTATCATACATTGAAGAACTTAGTTTTATTTGTTTTTGCGATGTAAGGTTTCTAATATATATTGTACAGTGCGATATTGTTAGAAGGCAGACACCTAAATATGTATAGTAGCAATAAAATAAAAAATAATTTGTTAGTAATACATTCTTCTATTAATAGAATATACATAGTACTCATGAAAAAAATCCTACCGAATTTCAATAAGGGTTTTAAATTGGTGTTCTTATGCAGTTGAATGAGGACCTGAGTCTTTCATCGATCAATATATACTATTTACGCAACTGTATATATCTGTATATATAAATATAATATATGTAATATCTGCAACTGGATTTTTAGTTTTCAAATCGCTCCGCAGTGCAAGATGAACGCATAATAAAAAATATCACCCGATTTTAATTTGTAATGTATTAAAATTACAAAATCCAATATAATCTTCAATTACATTGTTCTGAATATAATTCCATCCTTCCTCGAAAAATTCCTAAGTAAAAATAATGCAGTAAATTGAGTATATATCCGAGTATAAAATATCTGGCTACACACAATAAGCAGGCGAAATATGTTAAATGCTCAATCATTTCCTTGGGAGTTAAATGGTGATGTATTACAAAATAGGTGGCGTATTATTGTTGGCAATGCGTTTATTTCGTCGAGAACTTCACAGACTTAACCAAAGAATTTCTTAATTTTATTCTTGATCCTCTGGAAGAAATGGACTTTTTCCTCCTCTTCGGAGGATTCATCACTTCCTATACGAGGATTTATAATGCCCTCCCCAAATGGATTGGTTTCATCACCATTGTCTTCTCGCCCTCTGCCAGAATTTGCCCCTTTGCCCGGGAAAAATATATTCTTGTCCTCCTGCTGGTCATCCTCGTTACTCTCAATACTGTTGATCGCTTGATCAGGAAACGGGGCTACTCCAGGCTGTGGTCCATCGTTCTGGTTGATGCCGGTCGCTTGATCAGGAAACGGGGCTACTTCAGGCTGTGCTCCATCATTCTGGTTGATGCCGGTCGCTTGATCAGGTAACGGGGCTACTTCAGGCTGTTGTCCATCATTCTGGTTGATGCCGGTCGCTTGATCAGGAAACGGGGCTACTCCAGGCTGTGCTCCATCGTTCTGGTTGATGCCGGTTGCTTGATCAGGAAACGGGGCTACTCCAGGCTGTCGTCCATCGTTCTGGTTGATGCCGGTCGCTTGATCAGGAAACGGGGCTACTTCAGGCTGTGCTCCATCATTCTGGTTGATGCCGGTCGCTTGATCAGGTAACGGGGCTACTTCAGGCTGTTGTCCATCATTCTGGTTGATGCCGGTCGCTTGATCAGGAAACGGGGCTACTCCAGGCTGTGGTCCATCGTTCTGGTTGATGCCGGTCGCTTGACCAGGAAACGGGGCTACTTCAGGCTGTGCTCCATCATTCTGGTTGATGCCGGTCGTTTGATCAGGAAACGAGGCTACTCCAGGCTGTGGTCCATCGTTCTGGTTGATGCCGGTCGCTTGATCATGAAACGGGGCTACTTCAGACTGTGTTCCATCGTTCCAACTCGTGTTTGTCGCTTGATCAGGAAGTTCCGAGACTTCAGGGAGAGGTTTGGGCTTTACAGCTACACCTGAGGATTCTGCTTCTGCTGGCACTTCGATACCTGGTTTCGAGTTGGGAGAGACTCGTCCAGGCGGCAGAGGCTGGACTGGCTGTGGGACTGGTTGTTGAGTCTGAGGAGGTTCAGGACGACTGTCTTTTGATGGCGATTGGTTAGCATCGACTCCAGACTGACCCTTAGGATATCCAGGAGCAGGCAAACGATGTCCACCATAGAAGAATCCGACGTTTCCTGAACCGGATCCAGCTACGGAGCCGGTTCCACTACCGAACAAGTTGACACCGTAGCTGCTTTGGCCGTCACCATGGTTCTTTGAAAAGCCAATGCCAAACTTGCCTCCTAAATTTGTTGACAGACTCCCTCCAAAATTTCCGCCCAAACCTGCAATGAAAAAATAAGGGTAAGAGATTGCGTGTGCCTCATGTAAAAACAACCTTGTCCGAATTTTTCGTTAACAGCTTTTTAATTATAGGAAAATGAGGATTTACTGTAAAATACGAGCACCATTCACGTAATGAAGAAGCGGTGAACCTTCCATAATTGCTAATTAGTGCCAATCTGACAAGCCTCTGTTTTCGCAGCATCTTCTTTTTCACATTCTTAAAATCCTCACTCAATTAACATAAATATATATTTTGCACAGCGCAAGTTTAGTACAGTTGTGCACTGTACTAACTATTTTTTAGTGAAGCAATGAAATAAAACTACATGCAGAGCCATACAGCCATGTACAAAACATTCATAAAATCCAACTTCTAACGGATTAAATTCAAAAAATTTCATACATTTTGATATAGATTAAATTCAACTTCTTAACCATACTAACAGAATAAATTAAAGGAAATATTATTCATTTTGTGACCTGCAAAGGATCCCCATGACCCGTACTCCTCCGACGACCCCCAGCCTGGCCGCGCTTGCCCCCCTGGGAGCAGCGCCAGCACGGCGGTGAACACGGCTACACGCGACCACATTGTCCTGTCGCGTCTCATTCTTTGTAGGGGAAAGATAAAAAAATGTTGTTCTGCGACAAATCAAATCAGCATTTCACTGTTTCTAGTATATAAAATTTTATTTCAAGGCCCAGTACAATAAACGAGTTACGTTATTTCATTATTATGTGTCATTTATTTGTAAATTCACAGCTAATTACAATTAGTTCATGCATGGGGCGTAGAAAATTCGATCGAAGCGATACATTTTAGTCAAAGATAATTCAACGATGACTTATGTGTAAAAAGTTGCAGATAAAACTTCAGTCTAAGCCTAATTTTGTTGGTATGATTGTTTTTTTTTGCAATGAATTATTGAGATAAATTTCAGCATATCATTTCAGTTTAAAAAATTTGAGATTACACTTCTGATGAATAATAGTTAACGTGTACATTATCAGCGGAAAATAAAAATTTTAAAAATCCTCAGCATCAAATTATCATCGCACATGTTATCAGCAAATATCTTAATCTCTATTTGCTATCATTTCAAAGTAAGATTGGGAGGATTTTTAGACTAATGAGCTTTAACACCAAATAATCACGCTGTAGCGACTTCATAATTGTCTTTAATATAAGTCATTGATAATTTTCAGTTATAACAAGGAGCTTGAAAAAATTGCGTTGGCTCAAGTTTTATTCTTAAGGCGCGAGTATTATTAAAAGACTTGACCTGTGAGCTTAATGGGTAACGTTTGTACTGAACGAGTAATGTTTTTACTGAACGGGTGACGTTTGTACAAAATGGGTGATGTTTGTACTAAACGATTGGTGTTTGTACCGACGGGATGATGTTTATACCGAACTGGAGATGTTTGTACTGAACGTGCGACGTTTGTTCTAAACGGGTGACGTTTATACTGAACGTTTGACGTTTATACAGAACAAGTGACGTTTGTGCTAAACGGGTGATATTTTTAGTGAAAAGATAATGTTGCGCTCAATGATTAATGTTTGCTCTAAATGGGTGATGTTAGCATTGAAGTTGCGACGTCTGTGCAGAACGGGTGTTGTTTTCACAGTACCTGCCCAGTAGTCGATGAGTCGTGATGTTGGTCACGAATGAGTTAAGCCTCGGACAGAGGCTACGGATGCTTTGAGTCACCCTAGCGGATGAGGGTATCGTGAAGATGGAAAAACCTATATACCATATATACGTATATCCGACCGGATATTCTGCATTATTGACATCACTCGCTTTTCTGCTGCACGTAGTAATAAAAATATGAGTAACGATGTACTTATTCATGTAGGAATTAGTCAGTAGCCTTAGCTGATGCTGCCTTATAACTTACTAAACTAAATTTTCAAATAATTTCTTCAAAAACAGATCTGTGAGATTAAACTCAAAATGAGAATAACTTATCAAACGGAAGTAAAGAAGCCATTGACTATTTCATAGAAATTTTAAGAAAGCAGATTAGAAAACAGTTTAAAGTTGTAATAAATAGAAAAAAATAGTTACAAAGATTATTTGATTATTAATGAAAACTTGAGGATGATACTTCACAAATGGTCCGGACGAGATTACCAACAAATACCAAGTTTTTCAAACAAATTGTAATTGCGTACATCCAAAACTGTCAGGCTAGCACGGTGTTGCTCGCGCTCGATAACCCATAAAATTTCAAAATCCCGTTATCCCGAATCTCGAATATACGAATAAATCTCACGTATCTTTTTTAGAAAAAAAACTTCATACAAATATTTTGCATGTTACTTCCATGTGAGAATCGTTTCGAATTATGAAAATGAACCTTTTCGCTCTCCAAATTAAATTATGTGTATGAATTTAAAACGTAAATTTTTCTTTAAGAACATTTTGCCAAATTTTGCACTGACTTGCAATACTCCTAATAAGAATGAATTTTCAGGTTCATTTAATATTCCGACACGATATGTATTCTAAATACGTGCCCGAACAGCCCCTGTGTAGAATATCCCGACACGATAAGTATCCTGGATGCGCACTCGAACAGCCCCTATGTAGAATTTTTCGACACGATAAGTATCCTGGATACTAGCCCGAACAGTCCCTATAAATAGAATATCCCGACACGATAAGTATCCTTGATGCTCACCCGAACAGCCACTATGTTGAATATTTCGAAACGATAAGTATCCTGGATACTAGCCCGAACAGTCCCTATGTATAGAATATCCCGACACGATAAGTATCCTTGATACGCACCCGAACAGACCCTACCTGTATACTGTATACGGTGCCAGGCTTCAAAAACACAAACTACGACATATTTAGATAATAGCAATGAACTATTAAGAATAATATGGTTACAACGGCAGTAGCCAAATGTCAGTTGTAAAGGGCTGTCATTTCGGCATGATTTCGTTCCATTTCACGAGATTCAAATATTTTGTTTCAGATATTTTTAAGGAGATCTTATGCATAGCTAACACTGCAGGTAATATGAAATTAAATATTCATTAAATTATATTCAAACGTGATTTGATGCAAAATATTCTTCTGCTAAAAAATTTCACAAATTTCTAAGCGATTGAATGAACCGATAACTTCTCGGAATTTCTATATGAAATGCAAAAATTGCCTAAATTAAGCCACTATAATGATGTTAACATATGACCTATTATGAAACAATATTAGTCTAAATTTCTCAAAACATTAAACTATTATAAAATATTCGACTAAATTCATGTCCTATCGAAGTTTTAAACCTACTTTAGATTAAAGTTCTTTTCAGCCAAATTTTTTTTTACCTTATATTTGATTATAACATTTTAATTCAAATGTCTGTCCGTAGATGCTCTGGCGGTCAATTTATTCGCAAAGGTCAAAAATTCAAGAAATTATTCCTCATTATATTATTAAATTCGGTGTTTCTATTTATTTATGAAGTAAATTTTTCCGTTCATTTTCATTGCTCGGCTCGTACATTATAACTTTGCCATCTTCAAATCGGTCAAACTGAAAGAAAATTGATTTTGAAATTCAATTTTTTGAGCTATACGAAATGAATAGTAAACTTGATGTTGCAGGCCTATGGGTTTGAATGAACCATACATAAATTTATTCATCATCTATGTTTACATAAGAAATTACTCAAAAAACTGTATCATTTTTGGCATTTCATGCAAAAGGAATTCGAGCCAATTGTCAAAACCGAATTACCGATGATTTTTAATTTTCTAGTCACTGTTGATACTTTTCATTTCTAAATAATTTTATTTTTATAATATCTCTTGAATCTTTATGCCAAGCGTACTAATATGGCATTACTTCTTTGAACAATTGGACATGACATCATCTCTACCCAGCAAAACCGCCATGCAAGGCCGGGAAACCGAATTGTCCACCGTAGCCTTGAGGTCCTCCGAAGCCAGGGACGCCGAAGGTGCCCAGAGCGTTGCGGTAACCTCCACGGTAGACGCCCAGGTTCAAGGCACCTTGTCCGTTGAAGGAAGCTGATTCGCTTCCAAAGAGGTTCACTCCGTGCTGACCACCACCACTTCCACCGGGTCCTCCGTGTCCCGAGTAGACTCCTACACCCACGTTGCTACCTAAGGTTCCTGAACCGCCTAGGTTTAGACTGCCTCCGAGGCCTGTGCATGAGAATTTAGCATTAACTATGGTTCAGCTAATAACTTTATTATCGTAGAATTAAATATTTCTTAGAAATTAACTCACGTGAAATCAAAACTCTTCGAAAAGAGCCAGCACTATAAAAATAATGCATTTGTTTGAAATGTCGAGGGCTTACATGCAACATGACGAGATTTTTATTTTAAAATGACCATGTCATAAAGTCCAGCGTCCTTGAACCAGTTATTTCAATGATTTACATTACGTGAGAAAAACAGCGTATATTTTGAAAAAAGTATTTAATATTTAAAACTTGTTAAATTTTGTGTGAATGTGATTTTCTATGTGTAAAAGCTAATGCTACAAATAAACAGGTGCTAATCCAGCACGTATCCAAAACACAAATCGAAAATCGAGCCCATATCCACAACACATATTAAAGTGAGACCTGTAAAACCGATATTTCAACTTTCATTTTTAGTGATGGAATAATGGGGCATTACATTTCAAGAGGATAGAGGTGCAATAATTATTTTATTTGTTTATTTATTTTTATTCGGTAAACCACATTTTGGTCCTTAAAATAACGTTTTCCTCTCATTTTCGAAATGAAATTAAAATTCTGAGTGAAATGCTGATTTGAACGAATAATTTTCTTAATAACACAACTTTTCTAAAAATTAGCAATAAGAATCGTGGTAACGGGATTGAAAGCAACGAAAATGCGAATTCCGGACTCTTCAAATCACGTTGTGTGAGCTACTGGACGTTATGCGACGAGCCGCTATCATAAGGTAAGGATCAGTTTAAAAAATATAATTAAAGCGAGGTACGTATTTATTTAGAATTAGTCACCGAATTGTCAACATACCTGAAAAGGACCCCCAGGAGCCATACTGCTGGTTGTTGTCCTGGCCTTGTGGCCTGGCGACCACCAAACTCAACTGCAGCGCCACCACGACCAGCATCCCGCACTGCTTCAACATTCCTGTGAATTGAAGACTGCAGGTTATTTTTACGATAAAATAATACATGATAGTCAATATTACAATACTTTTGCCAAACATAATTATCCTCATACTTATTCTCCAGAAGGATATATTCAAGTTTAACATTTTTTGCAACATGCACAAGCTGTATACATCTTATCTATTTCATTTCAGGCATAATGTTCACACATGGTATATGTCAGTTTAAACTCTGTACTGAAATATATTCCCATAGGTTTATTAGTATTTCACAGTCCCACACGGGAAAAACGGTAACCTGTATATATATTATAAAATTTGAAGTGCAAGGCGGTTGAAGTAGCACGCGATTGGCTTCAGTTTAGCCGTCAACTGATGAGCTGAGTTAGTGCAAATGCATGTTGAAAGGGCAGGCAGGATGTGCTTAGAACCTTTGTGTCACCAACTGTGACAAACAGGATGGTATTCCGAGCCCTACCCTTCCGAAAGGATAATTTGAGAAAAGGAGCGAGCCATGCATGACTTGTTTGTTGTTCAGCGTATCCGTTTGGTTTGTCATGTAATGTTGAAATCATCGTCCCGATTACTTTTCCCGTGACCTCATCTAACCAATTCATTGTTTTAATTAGTTTTAATATCTTAGTTAACTTTTTTTGGAATTCTTCCGTCTGCGCGCAACGATGGAAGTTTAATTCAATTATTAATTTGAATAATGACATACGTCAAATTACATGATCTATATTATTTAAATTTCATTTAATGTTCTAGAAAAACTAAGCTAATTTGCATTAATAGCAAATTTGTAAATTTGTAATAGAAGCAAACTCATAACAAATATTTTTAACAGAAGCTAAATTAGGAAAATGTAAACTATCAGCTACAAAAAGTAACAATGTTTTCATGTAGTTTATTGAATCTCTACCATTTTAATATATTCCAGGGTATTTTTCCAGACAATGAAATTAATAATTTAAAATTATTTATTAATTTCCATTTTTCCTTCACTTCTGTTAGTTTTCTCAAAGCAGCTATACGGTATGTACGTTTTTTAATAAATAACCAATAGTCATTTCATCTCACCCGCTTTCTGGAGAGATTGCATTAAAATTTGATGTCTTTTCCAGCAATGAAAATTCAGATTTTCCGCTTCCACCAAAAATAAGTGCGTAAATACATACCATGCATGAAGCGGCTGTGTCTTATCAGCAACTGGCTTGTGCAGCTGCAGAGGTGCGGGCCACGCTTGTGTTGGTCCAGTGCTTCAATATCTGATCGCTTACACTCGAGCGTCGTAAAGAGTTACATGTAAACACAAGCTGCCGCTGCTCCAGTCGGAGATGTCTCGTTGAGGACGAGCAGTCGTTTTTCATGGTATTTCGTGGAAATGATATTTTATAGCCGATAAATATTTTAGTCTTGGATGGTTTTGTGAAATTTTTACTCTGCATCATTGGCTTAACATTTCACTTTAAATTAACTCAAAAATACAATATTAAAAAATATAACTCAGTGCTCACTGCAGTGAGTGACAGAGAGCGCATTTTCTCGTCGACGAAAACTTGAGGTCACGGACAGACGGACGGACAGACAGACAGACAGACGGACATGGCGAGCACAATAGTGCATTTTTTCCATAAATGGGAAAATGCGCTAAAACACTAAATCCTATTAAAATCTGCCAATAGGAATAAAAAAAGAATGAATAACATTGTTTAAGTTCCTTAATTATTATCATTGATTTTTTTACCGCTCATGCAAATTTTTATTTCGTCAACCACAATGCTTCTTTAAGGATAGTAAACTAAAGAACAAACCGTTGTTTTAATTCGTTATCCCATATCACTTGTTCATTTTATATTGAACCTGTATTGCTGGTATTGATCAGAATTAAGCGAAGTAAATTTTATGCTCCGGTACATAAACTTGATCCGAAAGAATTTTCAATTTTTCATCGAATAAGCGTATTTCTGGATGAATCACCATAATTTGACGACCATTTGAACGAGATTAATAATTAAAGTACCACATTAAATTCAATTGAAATCATCTTTCTTCGATATTAATACTCTTTGAAAAGACTAACAATTAGGTTTTGTATAACGTGGGTATTTTACATTCAAAGTATCTGCGCGTCCAAAGTATCAATAAAAGTATTCATGTAACAAATCACCAGTATTTTCTCACTAATATCCTAATTTTATGGTTCCACAGCATGAGAGGCAGGGAGGTGCGATGGTAATGACCGCATGGTCGGGTAGCCGAATAAAGTACTCGTGTCTTTGATGGTGTGACACGTTCTTCATCTCTTCTGAACACGCGAGCCCAGCCAAATAATGTAGTAATTTAATCCATGTAATGAATTCCACCGGGAGCACACACAAGGAGGACTCGAAAGTCACGGCACAGTAATCAAGTTCTTGCATATTATTCATGCTTTATTACTTGCGCCTGCTTATGTCTGGGTGAGCGATTTATTGATTTGATTGTAGGTGAGCGGTTGTCATAGATTGAATAACAAACTGATTGACTTTCTCGGTTCAACTTACAGCATTTTTGTTCGGCTGTTCAAGCGTTCTGCATGACTTGTACGTTTAATGAACATGATGGGTAAAAATTTCCATGCGTTATGTAGTTGTGTTCGAAATAATTTATTTTGAGAGTTCAATGAATTTGGATTTTGTGCGACGCAAACCTCGCGCCAGGAAGTAGTAAGCGAATGTCGCTTATGACTGCAGCTGACGAGTCGAAGCATATCGCTGCGTCGACTTAGCTAACGCGTGAGAGAGGAGAGAAAAGTAAGAAAAAAAACTTCTATCCAGATCCAACCATTGAAAAAAATCCAACTTTCAGTGCGAAATTGCCGGCGCTTCACACTATAATAGCGTTACTTGAATATTTCTTACTTAATTACATTGCAAATAATTAATTTTACTTTGAATTTATTATCTTTAACTTGCAACCATGTTCACTTCTCATTTTTATAACGATAGCATAACTTAAGGTCGGGCTATCGTTTTGCCCGACTCAAAAATGCACTGCAGTTCAATTAGCCAGAAATATTTGACAAGCCTACGATTATATTTCCTGATTCCCAAATTATACTAGTGGAGAAATTGAATGTTGTTATACTTATTTAAGGCACATACTTGTTGTTCATGTTAGCAAATTTTGTTTAATATTTTCAGTAATTGTTACTTCTACACGCCAATATTTCGCTTGTTTAGCGTTCCAAATTCCGAGTATAAACTTGATTCAATAATGTAATCATCGATCGATGGTATCGAACAAATTTGCGAAAAACCCTTTCATCCAGTTCTGTTATTTTGATGGAGGGTAATGAATTGCTATTTTTTCGTGTTATATGAATATTTTACTATCTTCATTTTTCAGAGGAGCTTATGAATAGAAAACTCATTTAAAAGAAAAAAAAATCACTTGAATTATCCAAGAAGCCATTAGTCATTTGTCATGTATACCTGGTAAATTAAATTTCAAAGCTAACGTTTTGAAAGACCGATCAGAAGAATGCATTTTACAACAACGCAGACTCGGTCATGCCACGCCGGAGTTATCGGAGGCTTAATTTTTCGGTGGGCTGGCATTGCATTTCAATCAGGAACGCGCACACGGTTGTTATTCCGACTCATTTGAACTGCGCCGCCTCGACGATATTTCACGCTCGGTAGCGGCGCATCGCGTCGCGGCGCGCATGCAATCAGAGATGACGCGTAGGTTCGAATTCCGAATCAGCCATACGAATATATTCGTGCATTAACGCTGTAACGTGATTTGAAATATCAAAAATATGTGTCATACGTGCTATGGTGCAGATATTTTTGTATAAATTAATGCGACTCGACAGTGGGATAGAGCATGCTGGCTGGACCTAATTGAGTTTGATTTGCATTCACTTCTCATTAACGGAAGGAGTCTAGTTAAAAGGTTCAGCCTGGTAATTTAAGAAGACAAGTGTATAACAGCCGTATAATAATCCTACTACGAATTTAACGAATGACGCCACCTATTTAACAGTTAACAGCATTTTTTACGATGTTAAGTTTAAGGTTTGAAAGAAATGCCTTATATTTCAAATGGGAATTTATTGCAGTCATGAAACGCATTCTGTTCTATCAAAGTCCTCAGAATTCTGCCAACGCCTTCTTCTCCAACGCTGCCACTACGAACTCATGATCACATTTTCGCTTGACAGATTCGTGGCGTTGCAAGCATGAGATCGAGATTTCAATCTTCTCAGTCCAGGTCGCCTGCGTCATAAAATATCCCGGAAATTCTGGCAATTTCTTGTATAATTATTTCAAAGTGGTAATTGATTACTATTTTTTAATTGCTTATACGAAATGAACACTCGATTTTATAAAATTAAAACTCATATTCCACTTTTTCCATTTTCCACTTCTGTTGAATTCTTTCATGCATTCAGATTCATACAACACTGCCACGGAATACTGTTTACTTAACCATTTAACGATTAGAAAGATTTCGTTTTACCGAGGACCAGTTTCCGTCATTTACTTCCGAACCTTAACGCAATACCATAAATAACACCGTATTTACACGCGGTAGGCGCTGCTATTAAACCGACATTCTTCAATAAGACCGCTATAATACTGGCTGAAACTACGTTTTGCCACGTTCGTAAATTTTCGTAATAAGTATTGCAATTTATAAAACTCAAATTAAGTGATCTTGAAAATATTCTTTGCATATATTTTTTAGGCTTAAGTAGAGACAAAACGCTGAAATCGACGAGCTCATTAAATAAACATTTGAATCAAACTCGTCAATACGTCTAAAGGATCTACAGCTAGTGTATGTTAATGAACCATAAAAAATGCTTGTAATAACACGCGATTATGAACAATCATTTATCATCATGCAGCTCATCCCAGGTGATGTGACGTTCGTTGCAGGATCGCTAGACATGCCGAACACTACTGAATTATTGACAACTTCAGTGGTTAATTGATGAGGAACAATTAATATATTATGATGTTGATGATGCAAATTTTGGTTTAAAGTTCAGGTCCGATTTACATTCGCGCCCACTTTTGAATTGTTCAGAAGAGTTCTGAGGTTTTGAGTCCCTCAAATCATAGATTTTTGACCAGCAAGTTAATAGTGAATTTTTGATGCTCAGGGGCGTGGCACAGATGATTGAACACTTAATAATTATATTTATTTGTAATATCTGATTAGATTCGAATCTTGTTTTACATGACAAATTTATTTCCTTACCTATATTGTTACTTGTACATACAACTTTATCCTGAAATGAACTGTAACTGTTCAAAACGATGAAAGTTCTGATCACTCTTTAATTTCTCTTTATTACACAGATTTTTTCCTATCAATTTGGTGCAATATTTAGTCGATCACGTTTAAGTTCAGTATAACCATGAGAAACTTGATTTCGTGGTTTCGAACACATTGAAATTAGGTGGCTCGCGACAGAAGGTTCCGACTGTTGGAATATTTGTGATCCAAGAACATTGCGAACATTAGTGAGCCATGAAGAAAGCATGAGATACGATGTTTGCGTGAGAGTGTTAGGATATTTGGTACCACTTGAGACCAAATGAAACACTTAACTACTATACTGATGCTTGGTGCTGAATCCGATACGTTATATTTATTTAAATATCCAAGCGTCAGAAACATTATTTTCATGAAAATAACAGAAGTTTTCGAGGCGATCCTTGGTGATGTCAGATTATCGAATTCCGGTCGTCGATAAAGAGGAGCATCGCGGGACCAAAACTCCTACACAACACTTAGATTGCATTCCTAGGCCTCGTCATCTCGGTATTCAGTTACCGCCTGCACTGCGCCAAATATTTCCTGCGCTTCTAAGGCCTGTAAACATATTCGTCAATGTAATATAAAGCATTCAAGTCTTTCTTATGCAGGGATTCATCCTGAGTGATGTTGGAGCGTCGTCTCTACCAGAATAAAGCGATAGTGTAAAATTCTACTTTAAATTTATACAAAATCTTGGAATATCAATGAACTAGGAAGGGAATTCGATTATATCTTATTTTTTTACAACACTTCTCTTTAACTTCACTTCTTGTTGTTTGTTTGTTTCTTTGTTTGTTTGTTTGTCTGCCACAAATCTTATAATCAATATTTAACACACTTCTACGTGTCCAATCGATCTGAAATTTTGCACACTTACGTAAAGTTGCAGACAACGAAGGCAATGCATGAATCAATTGACAGAATAAATAATTTTGAAAACAAAAATTATATATTAAAAAATTTTGAAAAATTACTTTTTTGATTTTCGAAAATAAAATGAGAAATTCATTGTACATCTTTAACATTGGAGACACTGGATTCTTTAGAAGTGTTGTCTTTAAAAAGTAATTTTTAAACGTATTTATTTCTGTTTAAAGTTCAACTATATTTTTGCAGAAATCCCAATAATTAGTGGAGCACCTCGAATTCTTTCACGGCATTAGCGAAATATTATTTCTAATATCGTATTGCGTCTCCCGGGAAAATTCCTCATTACCGGGAAAACAAATTATTCTCAGTGGTGTTTATGCAAACACTTCTTCCTTGAATTGAACAAATAATCAGCGACTATACTACTTTGTTAAAATATCTTGATATCCTCATCAAGTTCACTAGTTGTGGACATATGAACGATTCTCAAATAATTCAAATCCACCTGTTTTTTTAATGACCCGAAAACTTTGCTTCCAGATTCGATGAGGTGGTGAATTTGATCCATTGGCGAATTTTAGCGCTAGACGTCACGATATTTCCTGACGTTTGATTAACCAGCTAGTTCCACAATTTTCATGTTGAAAATGCAGGAAATAAGTGAAGATTACCTAGTCTAAGAATATCCATTCTCTACAAGGCAGAAGTGAACATAAATTAAAAATCAGATTTCTCATTAAAAAAATAGAAGTAGGTCGTTAACAATAATAAGTTCATTTTTGAAATTATCAGTTGAAGGTTCATATAATGCGACACTAATGCGCACAATCTACCCCCACCGACAGGTGAATGCATCAAGTGGACGCTATTCAGTGTGCCGTCGTGGGTGAAACTCGGCGAAGGCGCCTCGCTGACTTGCAAGTTTGACCTGGAGGGGCAAAACTTGTACGCTGTCAAGTGGTACAAAGATGGTCGTGAGATCTACCGCTATGTGCCAGCAGAGAAGCTCACTCAGCAGGACTTTCCCATGGCTGGTGTTAACATTGACGTGAGTTAAATGGCTTTAAAACTAAAGTAATTGAAGGGAAATTTCTGTTATATATTAATTGATCAATTGGTGCACAAAATAGTGTCCTACATTCGGTCAACTCTAGTGATGGAAAAAATTGTGGCGGAAAGCATCCCGTTATTGTTGAATTTAATAGGATTTCGCAAATTAGACTGATTTTCATTTGGGTCTATTAGGTCAAGCCAAGTCACGTTTCATTTACGTGAAGTATAATAATTTGTAAATCTCAATTATTTTCAATATATTTGAGATATACAAATTTTCAGTTCATATTCTATATACGAAATCGATTATTAGACGAAATAAGTTGAATATTACAAAAATGAGTTCAATTTTTTCCCTGTTCAATGAGCCTTCAGCAGTTTTCAAATTAGAAGCTCCATCCTATTAACATTCATCTTGCTAATTCCATGCAGAATTTAGAGCACAATTATTTCAACATTTGATAGTTATCCTTTTTATTATCAACTGCCTGCGTATATCGGAGGAACCTTTTTAATTCCTGGAGCTCTGGCACTCCTCATAAGCAGAATCCAATGCCTCCGCAAGCCTGGAACTTTTTTAATAAATACATCTAAGTTTGGTGGTCGCAGTGTCGCAGAACTGAATACACATGAACTCTCCCCGCCTCAAAATATTGCAGTCCCCCCTATACTCTCCCTCCATTCTTCGGTTTGCTAAAATTAGTACAACGATCCTGTTGCTCTGACAAAGAAACTGCAGTTGCATCGAGTTTTGGTCAAAGTATCAACATTCATCTTTATCAAAATTCTTGAATGAGATAGAAAACTTGATGGAATGTGTCAGACATTTATAGGTTTTGAAAAGCGTTAGAAAGGATATTCGCTTATGTACTTCCCTTTCTAATAGAAATTAAATTTGTAGAAATGGAGGCACATTAACACATTTTCTGGCACGTATATCATTTCAATGGAGTTATTTTTAATTATTTAGAGTTGATTATTACTATTAAGTTAAATTCTGAAATGAAGAAAGGTTCGCCACAGCAAGACACACACAAGCAAAGCGAGAAGCTGTGGGGAGATTTGTTGCCGGTCTCACGCCGCTTGACGGCGATGGCACAGCGAGACATTGCCTGGATCAGAGCGAAACCTGTACTTCGCAGGAGGGTCTGTGCGCGCTGCCACGATCTGCTGAACATTCAACTTGCCTGCATGCACTGCCACGAACTGCTGAACATTCGGCTTGCCTGTATGCACTGTCACGAACGCCTGAACATTATTCGTCTTGCTTACGAGTACTGCCACGAACGGCAGAACATTCGGCTTACCTGCATAAATTGCAACGAACGACTGAACATTCGGCTAGCCTATATGCACTACCACGAACGCCTGAACATTATTCGTCTTGCTTGCGAGTACTGCCACGAACAGCTGAACATTCGGCTTGCATGCGTGCACTGCCACGACCTGATGAGCATTCGGCTTGCCTCCGTGCATTGTCACTGAACAGACATTCCGTCTGCCTGAATGCATTGCCACTAATCAACAAACAATTGCAAATAAGCAAGTGTGTATTTTCATTCAGCAAAATAACAATTCAACATACGATTTGACTGTAGAGTTCTCTTCTAGGTGCGATAAAAATCACCGTCCTATCTAAACTTGCTTAAGAACACGTTGCGGCCGGCTTCTCGTCTGTGATTGGTGGGTTTAGCTTGAAAAGTCGCCGGTGATTGGCTGACGGAGTCAGGAACTCTTAACAAATTTTATTAGAACGATCCCAAGACTACGTTTCCGCCCGCCTAATTCGTGCAGGTGTCACAGTCTGACAAGGAAGTGGTGCGACTCAGGAACGTGAGCCTCGAGTCGACGGGTCGCTACAAGTGCGAGGTGCTCGCTGAGTCACCGAAATTCATGACGCTCGTCAAGTCTGGCGAGATGCAAGTTGTCGGTGAGTCTACTCATGATAATGAGGAAGTAATTAATTTGTTTCATTAGCTTACATCATATTTAAGGTCAATGATTTAAAACAGAGTTAACTAGGATAATTACGCGGAATTATAAACTCGCATTCATAGATAGAAAGTCATTTCATAAGACGTAAATTTTGCTTGACTGATTCTAGGCAACATTAGAGGTTTGAGTAAACTCTGATGATGAAAAACTTGTAAAACAATTATTTTTACGAGCCATAACTGATTTCAAAGTATATATAAATAGGCTTTGGCGTTGGCTGATTTAATTGTCTTGGTGCATGGCTGATTTAATTGTCTTGGTGCATGGCTGATTTAATTGTCTTGATGCATGGCTGATTTAATTGTCTTGAGATGCATGGCTGATTTAATTGTCTGGGTGCATGACCGATTTAATTGTCTTGATGCATGGCTGATTTAATTGTCTTGATGCATGGCTGATTTAATTGTCTAGATGCATGGCTGATTTAATTGTCTGGGTGCATGACCGATTTAAATGTCTTGATGCATGGCTGATTTAATTCTCTTGGTGCATGGCTGATTTAATTGTCTTGGTGCATGTCTGATTCCTGACAATTTTTTTCTAACTCTCCTTCATGTCATGACAGGGGAAGAATAGCGATAAAAATATTTGTGTTATGATTTCCTTGCGCACTTCTTTCCTTTTAGTGGAACCTAATTAAATTAATATTCTTTAGTATTACATATTCTCTAATATTTCTTATCTATGGATTACGGAGAAAAGATTATCCAAATGAATTATAATTTCTCTCAAGTCATTTTCCATGTGAATATTTTAGATATTCTAATTAATTTAAATAGATTCAGTGCTGGTCAATATTTTAGAAGTAACTGGCATAGCAGCAGTTTTGTGCGTCAGGTGTAGAGATGGTATGCATCTGACGTCCTCTTATTGCTCTTTTAATTACATCCGTCGGACAGTCTTGACGTTTACATTGCTAAAACTGAATTGAAATTACCCGCGTGAGCCAACTTTACGGTTTATGACGGAAATCAGTGTTAGGGTAATTTTTTGTGCATCTTGGTATGTTTGTAATGATGGATTATATGTCAGGAGTCGGTGGTGAAACGATCAAATTCTAAAACGCACGGAACACTCAATATTGATTGATTAATTTTTATTCAATGGGCATAAATTTTGATATATTATGTTTATGTTCGAATACCCATTAGAGGGAAGGAAATCTGCATATGGACTGCTTTGAACATTAGTTTTTTTTCCAAAATCTTCCTTTGCATTTATCTCAGAAATGTTCATTCTTTAGCGGCCCATTTAGCAACATTAGTTAGCGTTGCTCTATGGGCGAGTAAATGTTGATATTTGCAACTCTAATAATATCGCATTCGTTGAGGAAAAATATTGTCAATGACTAACTTTTTTTAAATATTAACTTGTCAGTTAACTTCTGGATGAACAAAGTACGTATTAAACTTGCCGACTTGATCGTACACCCCAACTAAAATATTAAAATTGTTATTTTGTAAAAAATGAAATAGAAAAATCTTTTGTATTATTTTTTGACAATCCAAATTAAGATTGAGTAGAATTTTTCGTGCCCTCATTACTAGGAAGAACTCTGAAGACTGCAACCATGTCGCTGCAACGCGACTTCCTCCTAGCCGTCCAAAGGCGGAGGCAGTAAAATGCAAACGATTTTTTCTGGTGACTGCAACTTTAGCCACTTGAAAGTGTGGAGGGAAGTGCGCATAAAATGCAGATTCTTTCGCTTTTTCCGTACCTCAATAGGCGATGTTGAGAAGTAAGTTTTGCCAGATGACAAATCGTTTGCCAAAGAAAAAATCCCCAGAGTTGATGAAGTATTTTTTGGTTCATGTGTTTTGGGTCCGCGTATCGTCGAGATCTCAACTTGACGTGTAATGAATTTCTTGGTTTTAATGACGATCAGAGAGCGATCTTTCTTCTCACGCATTCTTACAATTTGGGTTTTATATCCACGTTATAACTTGATATGAGCTTCTCTGTGCTATAATACTATGCACTTATGTACTTATAGTGATTTAACTCAATGAGAACTTCGAAAAGTGTATCTTCATAGACGACCTAGCTCTGTGTCGAACTTAGTATTTTAAGTTTATTACAGGATGTAATTTAGTATTAGAACTTTAAACTGTTCTAACCGTGACTAATAATTTTGAGAGATTGGATGCTCCTAAATTGGGACCTGAAATTGTTTCGTTTGATGATAGATAATTCAGTTAAATGCCATTTATCCTCAAAGTTAGGAAGTCTATAAATGCGTAATTAAAATAGAAAATATATTCTATCGAAATACATGTAGTCGTGAGATATATAATTGAAAAAGTAAAATTATTCTTTCGCGAATGACTGCAGTATTAAAGTTTTAAGTTTTTAGTCTCATGTTTTTTACAATTGAATCGAAGAGTAAAATATTTCCTCGAGGAGAAAGGAGAATATTTTCTGAAGTGTATTTATTTCATCTCAATATTTCATTTTTTTGCACTTGCTGCTCAGATCTGCCAGCAGGTCCACCCATTGTGCTGGGGGGACAGTCAGAGTATGAGGACGGAGACCTGGTGAACGTGACGTGCATAACTCTACCGTCCATGCCACCCGCTCAGGTCACTTGGTACATCAACGGGCACGAGGTGTGTGCTACCAACCCTTCATTTCCGGTTGTATTTGTACAAAAAAAACGCTGCCACTGAATCAAATTTCGTTATTTTAATCATTTCTAAAAGACGGTTGTTATTGAAACGAATCTCGTTATTTTAATCACTTCTAAAAGACGGTTGTTAATGAATCGAATCTCGTTATTTTAATCGTTTTCACAAGAGGGTTGTTCCATAGTCGTATCTTGCTTTTTAATATTTTCCACATGATGGTTGTTTCTAAATCTACTCATGTTATCGTAATAATGAAATTTTGTCTGGCCAGGCCACGAAATTGTCCAACAGAGAAATAATATTATTCTTAGCAATCTTTATTCACAATCTTAGCTTTTATTTATTTGTATGCACAACATCATTCATAAACATTATTTAAGTCATGCCATACCAAAATTAGGCTTAAAATAAATGGGCAAGAAGTTTTAACGCAGAAGTGTGATCAGCCTACAAAAGTGATTGCGCGAAGCATTAAAGATATTATAAATATTGGCATGATAATCTTATTAATTTGAAATTATTTGACTGTTGCATTTTATTATAATTGCATATCACGAAAATTTAAATTCTCATTCATTTCATTGCAGGCGCCGAATGACATCCTGTACCCACACTCCACCGCCGCTCCGCTGCCTCAGTCCCCGCAGCATTACCCAAACAACCAATACCCGTTCAACCAATACCCAAGTAATAGGTATCAGGAAAACCATTACATGCATCAGCATCCAGATACCAGTCAAGGAACTTCTGGCCGTGATTGGTATCGTGACCGCAGGTCGAGTCATTCGACTCACAATTTTCGAAATGGAAATTTATCTAATAAAACTTTTGTTAATGAATCCACAGAAGCAAAAAGAGATCCAGCAGCAAACATAAATGGCAGTATAATATATGTGAGGCCTAATAATGACACAACAGAAGCACTTCTCACTTTTAAAATACTCGTTGAAGATGCAGACAAAAATATAACATCAAATGCTTATGTGAACCGAATTAATATTACTTATGAAAAAGAAGGCTTTTCGACAGATTCAAAATTTGTGCACGATTATGAAGGCTTTGATAGTTCAGACATAACTAAATCAAACGAGTCTTATATAGACGAAAAAACTCAAGTATTTTATAAGGTTCCAATAATAGTGAACGATAGTCGAAGCCATGTTAGTTCGAAGTTATACAAATCAAATTTAACAAAATTGAGAATAAAATTGCACCGAAGACGCACAATTACGCGAGTGTCTCGCACGCAAAGAGATTATGACACGTATGGACAACCACGATATGCGACCAGGAAAAACATGGACCCCTTGTATCAATCTGGCTTAGAGTTTTCTAATGAAAAATTCAGTCGGGATAATGATCCATATTCCTTCCCTTCATCTCACTCAACCAGCCTCGCGAAACCTCCCTATCTTATACCTGATTTCGGTGATACCGAACATGAAGAATGTTGTGATACCGAACGTAATAACCATGAACAGAATTCTCACCGTAATAATCATGAGCATAGTTCTCACCGTGAAAATCATGCAAAGGGTTCTCATAATAACAACCTAGCGGGCAACTCTGTCGGAAGCGCCCGGAGCTCCGACCATCTCCAGCAGTCGCAGCCTTCGCTGTCGCACAGCAGACAATCCGTCAAAGTTAGTAGCAATGATTTTGTTGGACGTGCAAGAGTTCAATCATGGCTAAATACAATGAATTTATCTCAACGGTACGTTTCTTGAATCTAACATTTTAATAACCAAGGTATAACTCCCAGGGAATAACAATTGGGTAGTTAATATTGGAATATAGATATTTTTTATTTTGCGTAATTTGATTTTAAAAATCCATTGCATCCTTGATTGACACTTGCAAGTCGTTGATAACCACAGCAACTGTAATTTGTCTCAAAGCGCTAGAACGCATCTGACGAGGCAGCGTCATGTTCAAATTTGACAAACCGTTTTACGGTGATTATCTAAACTGGCGCCCAATTTCATGGTCGATAGAATACAAAAGCTGGCCGCACGCCACGATAAATGCGTAAGATTGATAAGGATTTAGGAGAAAATTAGAAAAAAAGTTAGTTTGCTTTTTATGCATATAAGCAATTTTTGGAAAATGTTTGCCAGTGTTTCCATGTTTTTAAATTCAATGCTGTACTCACTTGAAAACTTGATTCTTATTCCAAGGCTATAACAATTTATTGTGGCTTCATTCTATTGCTCATCACCTTGATTTGGTTGCATAACTCTTAAGTTAATTAATGTACTTAATAACTCACACTCGTGACCGTAACGTTGCCAGGTAACCCTGGCGTTCACGGTGCGCCGGTATCACTTCGACCGTGGCAACATGACGCTGCGATGCGAGGCTCGGGTCTCGGAGCTCTACACGGGGCAGGAGGAGCTACACGCGCGTCGCAAGACCACCATCAGACCTGCACTTTTTGGGGGCAGAACTTCAGGTGTGGTTAGCGGTGTAGTCAAAAGTTATAGTACATTATTGATAAATATTTCGTTTTGAGTTATCTTCATAAGGCTCTTGGCTAAGTTATCGCTCTCTTCGGAGACAGAACTTTAGGTGTGGTACGCGGCTTAAGTACATGTTATGGCAATTCATAAAATTATTATGTTGAGTTAATATTATATTATAATTACTTTCTTTTGATTACGGCTAATGAGCAAGTTTTGCGCCGACTTCGAGCAGCGATAACACAGAGTTGTCGGTCTAGATAGTGCAACCTGCGATTCATGAGCGGTGAAAGCTCGAATTAGCAAGTGGATGAATCATTGACGAATCGAAGCAGGATAGAATTATTAATAGTCGCAAACAGGCAAACGATGAGGCGAGGAAGAAGAAACTTCCACGCAACATGCATAATTTCCCCGTAGGATAAACAAAGGGAATTATTTGTAAATGCCGTTAAGATTATTGCCTTTTGGTCCCTTTGGTTGCATATACACTGTTAACATGGTGTGCGGAAATAAAAAACTTTTAAGTATGCGGAACAGACTTATCAAGCACTTTCGTGTGCCTGATCTAGATTGATGCTCGGTTAACACGTCAAACACGAGTTCATACAAAATCCAGCTTGGGTTAGCTGAACGTTACACTTGACACGGTTACTCTAATGATGCCTTCAACAATCTAATAAAATGATGATCATTGTATAGTCACTCAATCCAACAGGACAGATGTAAGGGTCATTCGTAAATACGTAACTTTCATCCTCTTTAAAAGGTATAACTTACTGCGACTGGAAAAGATCTCTAATTTCCTTTCACCTTGAATTAGGCTTAACTTTCGTCAACATTTGAACATACATAACTTACTTTCATTATCAAAATGTTTAACTTTTTTTCCACCATGAAACGTGTCTAAATTTTTTGTCCCTGTGAACATGTTTTTAATACATGCGCAACTCAGGTACGGTTTCTATTTTCTGCTTGCTTCACGTCCATGTTTTATATTTTCATTTCATAAAAATTCTATTTCAATTGTTACAAGAATTATGACTAATGCTGATAATAAACTTTATAAAGTGAGTCTGTGCGATTTCAAATGCTTATTTTCACTTGAACTAATTTTTAGGTCCATTAGTCAATTTTAAGATTTTCCAGGGACACAGTTAATGTATCATTACTTACGGCTGGCAATAATTCGCTGAGGTGTTCACGCGCTCGAGTTTGAAAGCAGCAGTTACTCTGTCAGGTCGTTTGTCAGCGACCAAAGTCATTTACGGGGACAAACGTCGGCAGTGTCAGCCGTGCGCCAGTCCTTCTATCCGTCCGTTTAGCGTCTGACACGGAAGTATCCTCAATACTGTCAGCCATTGTAAAGTCATGCAGGATCTTTGCTTTTGTGTGTCTGTAAAGTGTCTGTCAAAATATGATTGCTTCTCGAAAATCAAATATAATTAAATTTTTCATATGTTCATTAAATTTTAATTAAAAACATTTTATTTCGGGGTCATTCCTGCCATTGCTGTTTATGTGTCGTTATTACATTTTTAGGAATATGCGACAAAAATGATAATGCAAAATGTTCATGAGCCGAGACTACGTTTTAAAACTTAGACTACTTAGGCAACTTAAATACGTAAAAAATACTTAGATTAGTTTATTTGAGGTATCATTTTTATGTAAGTGCCAATTACATTGAATATATTGAACGGTATCAGAGAAATTTATAGTTGATTATACGTATGGATAATAATGTTCATAATGCACAACGAGACATCTATTTGTCCCTCAGGAGCCTCAAGTACTTCACATGGAATAATGCTGAGCGTCATGCCTGCGATACTATCAGCTTATGCTGTGCTGGACTCCATAGTATGACACAGCAATAGGCACAACCTTCCCCCCAGAATTGCAGTGAAGCATCTCACGATAATAAGTACGGTTTGTCGACTTAACCGCTATATCTCCATTGATTAGAATTCAGAAGTAATTAAAATTCTTTACTCGGTTTGATTTTAAATTGATCGTGCTATAAATGATCGTCAGGCCTTAGAGAATTTCATGCCCGGACCTCGCGGTCAGTGAGGTCAGAAAGGCTTCAACGACATAAATAAAAAATAAACAAAAAGCTACGGCGAGTGTACGATTTTTTTTTTTCACATATGACATGTGAACGTAATTAACATGATCAACTCATATGAAATGCATGCGTAATTAAATTGATCAACATGTATTCATTTATTAAATATCAAAAGTGTCAAATTGAATCCATCGACATGAATTAAATTGGTCTTCTAATGTTATATTCATGCGCAATTATATCGTTCGAATAATACCCATATGCGAGTAATTAAAAATTTAGAATAAATTTTAATTATAATAATTTTGCACCTTCAGGGTCATACTTTCGATCGAGAGCAGAATAAATTACATATAACATAAGAAGCTGAATTCAAACCTCGTTGGCAATAAATCTCATCCCTTGTGTTATTATCGCCTTTCACAAAAATTTTAATTCTCTCTTTAATAAAGCCTCAAATTTCGCAGAGAAATGAAGTTAAATTTTCAATTACAACGTGTCGGTTCTCTACTATCTGTTTTACCCAATAAAAATATTCGAGTCCGTTAGCACACCGTCATCTCTAAATTTCAATTTGCAATATTTTAGCAGCATATATGTTGAAGAAGTTATTGTAGTGAATAAACTGTAACAATTTTGATTTATGGTGTTCAAAATTTTTTTTGCTCATCAAGAATGAATAAAGTAGATTAAATATCATTGTTATTATCATAATTGATTTTTTAAATTGCCAAAAATCTTTGTTGAAGATTCTACGATCTGTATAAAATATCTAGGTATATAGGTCTAAAATCCTGTAAAACATGTCAATATATATCAGTTAGTAACGTTGCTAAACATGATATCCTTACCCATTTAATAAACTGAAGACGGATTTGAAACAACCACATGTATAGCACAATAAGATGTACATGAATTACCCAGCCAAAATGTAAGTAGAAATGGTTAATAAGCGACGTACATTACTTCTTCCCATAATGTGAACTTTAGACTACGAATATTTTTAACAAAAATTATATGCCCTTTCTCTATGTTTTTTCATGTTTTCCAATTTATTACTAAGTGTTCAGCCTACTCGCATTTAGTTTTACATAACACAATAATAGGTTTAAATTACAGTCCGATTTGGATTTTTTCAGAATTGCGGATCTTGAAGATTTCAATTTCATATGAGCATCCAGGGCTTTCACCATCTAAGTCATCATATCAGAACAAGAATTTTTCGTAAAAGCTGGCTTATTTAAAGTGTGAAGCCTTCATCCAAAATTTCCTTATATTAAATTTGCTGCTCATGTTAGGCAACAAGTTCTTGTGTTTATAATTTGATTCATATTCACTGAATCATTCTGATTTGGCATGGGACAGCAATGCTACTAGTATTGGCAGCCAAGATTAGTCTTAGTCTGAATCGTTCATGGACCGATGTAAAAATGGTGGAAGCTGAAGCCTGATAATTATTTCATTTGCATTCTTGCCACCTTAGATGTTATTTTTTCGAAAATATTTAATTTGATTTTATTGTACTTGAGAGCGGCGACTCGAGAACGTCAACAACTAGTGTCTCATAGACGGTAGGACTTCTTAGTAGGCTCGCTGTATTCAACTTCCTGCCAAATGTTATATTGCTGTTTATTGCACGAGTTTATTTGACCGCACAATGTGGAAACTCTATGTGTACCATGGACACATTATGTTACTCAAAGTAGCTTCCCTATTAATATGACCAACATTAGCTACGATAAATAATTTTGAGCCGTGTATGTGTCAAGACAAGATGGTAGAAAATCAATGTGATCACATAGATATGAAAAACATACCGTGAAGACCAGTTACCAATGAGCGACTTAGATTGCATGTTAATATGTCAGTAGTTATAGAAGATATTGTACATATAATTTTAGAGCACAGGGTATTCTAGCAATATTAAGACAGACAGCTGTAGATAAAACTTAATTAACTGTTACCGTATGAGTACAGCGGCTGTTCGAGTAAAGCTTCCTTGCAACGATGGACCCAAGTCGATCCCAAATTTGATAAATAAGCATTTTTTATCCCTCTCTACGTGCGAGGGCTCAATACAGCTTATAATCTTGGTTTATGACATGCATGATTGATTAATAATTTTATTCAATACAGTATATTTACACTGATAGTTCATTACATTACCAAAATAAGGATTTGTTTCATTTTTTTTCTTAGGTATTGATGAGGCTCACTCATCTGATGATATGATATCATGATGTGACAAATGAGAAAATTATAATTTAATAACTTATAAAAAATTTAGGTGTGAATAAAAAGAGCGTTTAATTCCACAAAAAAACTAATTTTATGAATTTTTCCTTCAGGTATCATTCAATATTGAGAAAATATTTTTTTAGTAAAACTTACGTGATCCTTTTAACTTCACTTAATAATCCTTTCCGTCATTTCTTTCTCATGTCATACTCGTTGAAAACTGGACCACTAAATTATGAAAATACCAACCGGTAAAGCCTTACACATATCGTGCAAAAAACTTTTAACAATTCAAAAAAAATTAAAAATCAGCAAATTTTCACTTTACTTTTTTAGCTTAATTCAGAAACTCGTTCGGGAATGTTTTGAGGACATGACCAAAGGCCGAGATCCAGCAGTGCGTCTCCTTACATATAAAATATTATGCATGGTTCGACAGGTAATAGTACGACGGCTCCGATAGAATTTTAGCTCGGACTACTGTGACCCTTCCTTAGCTTAGCAATCCTGTTCCTGTTGTGCATAAAAGTATCTGGAATAAACGGGTTTCACTTACCTTACGAAATAGTATTTCAACATTTTTCTAACATTTTTCTAGCTTTCGATTTGTTTCCCTTTCGTTTACAAGTGGCTTCAGACAACTGGATTAATCCATTGTTAAATAAACTATAGAACTAATTATTTCACTCCTTGCATTCAGCGGATCTTAGCACTCACATATTTACATCCATCCATTGTGTGTCATTTTTATTATTTTTTGAATCGTATGCCAATCAGGCATCAGATGTTGAAAAAACGTTCATTAAACGGTGTGTCAACGAAAAAGAAATCCGCTAATCGATGATCTCTAAACGCCAATTGCCTTGATGGACAGTTTTGGTTGTTTATGAGGGTACAAACATCTTCCCTAAGGATAGTTTCATTCAAATTAAAGCAATATTGTTCGCAGTTTACTCATCATTTCTTGGTAAGCTTCATGTAAATTAATGTCTAAGCGCAAATTTGCCCATTCCCTGCATCTTGACTCTCTACTCTACATGTGCCTTAAAGAGTTATGTTGGAGGGCAGGCAAAGATGTTTCATTTCGTCGAGTCAGGTCCATTTTTGGGCCATCAAGATATTCGAAGATGCAATTAGTGCACCAATGCTCGGCTGCTGTCAGGACTGACGGACTCTCGTAAAGCATCTTCTTCGCGTAACGAATGTCATTTCCCTGAACTCTGCTTGTTTGTGTATGAGCAGAATGGATAGAGGTTACGTTAGGTTCTAGAAGAAGTTTCAAGTAAGGCATAGAAATTATCAGAGTTACAACTTTCGAATGAGGAAAAATATGTCCTATAGTAAACACACGTTAGCATATACCTGTATGCACCCCGACAACAATTGGACGTTAATTAATTAGGCAACTCTCCTTGCAATTTCAAACTTGAAGTATCAGAAAAAACATGCAGCTTACAAGAAGTAATTCTTGACGAAAAAACTGGTTCTGACCTATTAAATGAACTCGGATCTTGTGAAGAAAAATAAAATACCTGTAATGATCAATATTCTTAGAAACATGTATTAAAAGTTCTTAGCTGGACCTGATATCAGTGCAAGCAAAATCTCTTATGAATGTTGATCTGCCGGTGCGCAGACGGCATTCTCGCGCTGCGGCTGCTGATCCAATAGCGCGATAAGCAGGATTCCTTTCAGCGCCAGAGGAGACGAGTCGCCAACTTCAATCTGCTGTGTTGCGAGCGATCAGGAGTAGTGCGTCTGGCGGTTGTGATGTGATCAGTGCTGGTAGGAAGTACGATAACATGCATAGTGTTGGATAGGTATAGATACTGTACGTGTCAGACTAGCATGAACAGGTCTGGCAGTTGCGATGGCAACAGTGGTAGGAAGTACAATAACATGCATAGTGTTGGAAAGGTAGATAGTGTACGTGTCAGACTAGCATGAACAGGCAGTTGCGATGGCAACAGTGCTGAACATGCATAGTGTTGGAAAGGTAGATAGTGTACGTGTCAGACTAGCATGAACAGGCAGTTGCGATGGCAACAGTGCTGGTAGGAAGTACAATAACATGCATAGTGTTGGAAAGGTAGATAGTGTACGTGTCAGACTAGCATGAAACGACTGGCAGTTGCGATGGGAACAGTGCTAGTAGGAACTAGGAAGTACGATAACATGCATGGTGTTGGATAGGTAGATACTGTACGTGTCAGACTATCATGAGAGGGTATGGCAGTTCCGATGCAAAGCAGTGCTGGTAGAAAGTATGATAACATATTGTTAGATAGGTAGAAGTCTATTGCGGACTGCTGTAGAGTAAGGTCTACTCACTACCAGCGAGTAGACTTAGAGGCCGTTTCATGTGAAACAGTTGTTTTACAATCCATGGCACTTAATGTATAATTCAACAAGCAGACACCTTTTTAATGAATAAAACCTGTTGCATGATAACTGTTGCAAGATCAAAAGCCGGGGCGAGTTGTGATGGACAAAATTTAGACAATTTTTTTTATATCCTGGTTGAGTTACTGTCGAAAGATTTTATGTATACATGAAACAA